GGTGCTGTGTGGTTTTATGATCTTTCGGGTTTTGGGGTGTGGAGCTTGGGATGTTGAGTTCGAAGGTTGTGGGTATTCGCCTTTACACTTTGGACTTTCTGACTTCCTGCAGGGAGCTGAGCAAGAGTTGGAGAGGGTATAGGGTTTAGGGTTTAGGCCGAGCTGCGCTTGATACTAACTACTAAGCAAGCCACACGAGTGAAGCCGGACGAGTCTGAAGCTTCGAACAAAGTGAGCCCTCGAGTGCAAAGCTCTGACAGGTCCAGGGGCAGTACAAAGCAGAGAACCCTGTGACGAAATGCAGAACATGAAACAACATACAGAAACAAGTAAAAAGTCAACAACATCGCTTGAATCCAACCTCAGCAGTTAGAGCCAAAAACACCTAGCCCACAGCCCATACCCTAAACCAACCCACACTCCCAAGGCTGCGTGCCTCGAGACTTCCGCCTTGTCTGCAGCCGCCTGGAGCCTGTCCACAGCTCTGCCGAAAACGTGGATAAACCCTAGGCCCAAAAAGCAAACTCGAAATGCGTGGTCTTGGGCTTGTAGATCAGCATGCAGGATCTGAGGCAGAATCCAGCGTTTGTTTTACCTGCAAGTGTCGCCCCTCAAAAGAAAGTCAGCCACGTGGGAGGGACTTTTGGCCTTCAGTCTTTAATCCGGGGCTCAGATGTTCCAGTCGGTTCTAGCCCTGACAGGGTTGTTTGAAGTTGTCGTAACCTTCCCGGAGGAGTGTGCCGGGTATGTGTTGTGCACAGCTTCGTCAGCAATGCATACACGACAAAGCTGGCTTTCGCCTCGCCTTAGAGACTTCCTCAAAGACCTTCTAAGCATGACCACAGGCATAGCGGCCTTGTGACACTGTGGTTCTGTTTTAAGCAAAAGCTGCTTTGAATGTAGGAAGGCAGGATGCTGCTGATATCTGGTGATCCGCCTCACAACACTTCGAGGATCTTCGACAGGAAGCATAAGCATTACGGCCAGATCAAAGCTCAAGATTGCCAGGATCGCTCATGGTCCCCTAATCTTCAAGCTCTAGAAAATAAAGGGGCCGACATTCGCGGAGGGGGTCATTGGGCAGGCTCAGTTCTTGCGGTCACTCCTACTGGAGTACGTGCTACCACCTATGTGCTGCAAATCTTCCGGTCACTCTTACTGGCGCTGATACTGCTTCTACTGCTTAAGTTCTTTTTCGACGACAGGTTCTCCCGGCAGATTCTTGTCATCGCCACCAAAACAGCTGGCTCCCTCAACCCAAGCATTATATCGGACACCACGTGTTTACATCACCATGATGATGGTATGATGATCATCATCAGGAACGCTAAACCGGCAGTTTGATTGCGCCTTGCGGCGTGGACTGCGGCCGCAGGCTCACGGTGCCCAGCTGCTGCGTATTCCGGGAGACTCAGTTCAAAGGTCAGAGTGAAATTGGTTTAGAATCTCATGTTGCTATCGGTTTCGCATTTGTGGCATTTCGGGCTTTGGTTGGTATTTCTTTCGGGGGTTTTGGGCTTGCTGGAGGTTTGGGGCTGTCGGGCTTGAGAGTCGAACATCCACGGAAGGTAAGCTGCCAAGGTGCCGGACGGCCGGTCGCTCGGCGTGGCGCTCGTGACCTCCTTCATGGCAGTGTCCTGCAGCCCAGAGCTCGTCGTGATGATGGACTCGTTGCTGATAGGTTGCCCGTCCAAATGCCATACTTGTGCAGTCTAATTACTTCAAGTCAAAGAACTACACTACAAGCAAAGGTCTGTAACGAACCGGTCAGCGAATGCGACTAAGTTGAACACAATAACCACTTCAGCAGATGATGTCGGGCTGCAACAAGCCATGGCAGGTTGAAAGGTTTTCAAAGGCTGACCGGCACCCCAAACCCCTAACTCCAGGGCTCTTGCTTTTGCAGCAATCAGGCTGTCGAACACCCTGTCCCTGGTACACCCTAGGCTTCGTTCGGATTTCAGGTCGGGGGCTTGGCCTTTTCGTGAGGGGTGTTAGAACTGTCGGGTAGGTGCAGCAGGGAGGTGGGGCTCGCGAGTTCCATCAAATGTCTCCGATCCAACCTGCATTCCGAGCCATAAAGAGGCTAAACTTCATTCCTCGACACCCCTTGAACCGCTGAACCTACACTGCCCGTGAGAAGCCAGATGCAGGGAAAGCGGCCTGGGTCATGTCAGAGCCTGGCTTCCCGAAGCGGCAATGAAGATGATCAGTTCATGGCGACGATGGGCCAGCAGTAGCGATGATGATGTTGATGATGTGATGATGATGATGATGAACCTGATGATGATGATGATGATGATGATGATGCTGGTGCTGCTTATGATCATGGTGATGCTGATGGTGGGGGATGATGATGATGACGATGATGCTGATGATGATGATGATGCTGATGCTGATGCTGATGCTGATGTTGCCTATGATGATGATGGTGATGATGATGATGATGATGCTGATGCTGATGCTGATGCTGATGTTG